TGGCCGCTGAGCCTGCGCGTCCGGAGCCTGTGCTCCGCGACGGGAGGGGCCACAGCAGTGAGAGGCCCGCGTACCGCAAAAAACAAAAGAAAGAAAATTACCAGATTATAATGGGAAACTCAATCACAAACCTACTTCACTCGCAAGGCCGTGTCTAGCAAGTATCCCTGACATTCTGAGAGCTGACTTTTTAACATTGTGTAGTTGTTTTTTTTTAAATTTCCTGAGGGTGGCATGGTCTTGCCCTAGAACCCTAGAAATCTGTGATGTGAGCTCTATTACAGTTTACAGAGTGTACACACAATATCCTTATCTATCACAGATGTATCATGCAACAACATATGTACTGGATCGTATGGCCCAAGTGACACAGCCACTTATATATCATGACCTGAACCTGATGCACAGACCTCTTCTCCCTGTGCCAACTCAGACCTGGCAGCTTTCTGTGTGCGCCACAAATGGGTGGCGTCTTGCACCCAAGTGTGGAATGTATTGTGTCAACATTCCACCGAGCCCACAAACACTCTGCCTCACCCTCAGTGGTAGGAGGACAAGGTTCAATTTCTTGTTCTTTACCCTCAATAACATGTGCCAGTCTGAGATGCCTCAGGCATCTGGACCCCTGCCATATTCACTGATTGGCAGCCCATGAATTTTGGTAGGATTTACATTGTATTGTCTGGAGCACGTATATTTTTACCAGTCATTTACAGTCCTGGCAATTTCTTGCCCATCGAGTCTAATGAACGTGATGTCATCAATCCAGTCCTGCATTATACGACACACTGCGGAATGTCCAGACAATCAAAGTTTCTTCAGCCTTCACTGTGACAGAGAACAAGAGAATTAACACTGTCCTGGGGGAGAACTGAGGATGTGAGCTGCTTTTACCCTAGATAAACACAAACTATACCAGAAGACTGTATTAGTTTGTGTGTTTTTATTCTCCTGCTCAGTTCTGCATGTGATCAAGCATGGACAAACCTTTTCAAAATAATGAGTATGAAATCTCAGCTTTGAAGATGAGTAAGAACCAGTGATCTGCTGTACAGCACAGTGCCTAAAGTGACAGGACCATATATAATGAAGCGAATTGTTAGGAGGGGAGATTTTAGTATTATCATTAAAAATGAATAAATAAAATAAAATGTAAAATCCTAACAACAACAAAATACCCAACGGGATGTGATGAAAATTTTGAAGGAGAACGATATGTCTAAAACTTTGATTGTGGTAAAGATCTCATGAGTGTATGCATCTATCCAAACTCACCAAATTGTCTACGCTAAACATGTGCAGTTTATTGTATATAAATAAAGGTTGTAGAAAAAAATCTTAACATGTCTCAACTCTAGATCACCAGCAGGGGGAGACAAAATTCATTCAGAGACAGGACAAGGGCAGGTGCTCTCCTGACAAGCATTCCTGACTAATCCAACATGAAATACCCGTAATTTGCATGTATCCTTCCTCTTACATCTGCCTCTCAGAAGGAGGTGAGAAATCATGATAGATAGATAGATAGATAATAGATAGATAGACACATAAATATAGATATAGATAAGAGCTCTTACTTCTCCCATTGTACCGAGTCAGCCATAGTTAACATTTACAACTTTATATTTTCCACTACCCATGTTCCCACTGCCATATACAACAACCCTTTCGGTGTATAGTAACTCAGATCTTTTACTCATTAATGGATTAACCAATTTGACATGTATGTATTGTGTTACTGTAATCTATTAACTATTAAATTTTACTTCTGTACCTGAAAATACTAAAGGGCACTCCAAGAAATGTGCCCAGAGCCCAAAAGATCCATTTGAAAACTCTGCTTTAGATCTACTTCTTACCAACCTTCCAGTCGTGGTTAATCCAATCTTCTGACCATTTGGCCAAACTGTTAATCACTGCTCCTGAATTAGTAAAGACCTCTGTTATCTCTGTGCAAGGCAAAGTGGATTAGAGCGCATAACTCCAAGTCCTGCCCACTTTTCTTCCTGCACGGTCTTACCCCACTATTCTTAAAGTGGGCTTCAATGCTATAAAAATCTACTTTGAAAAGATGAAAGCACATATGACATAAATTTGATCTGAATTATTTTCTTCTTCAGTCAGTTTGCTGAAGGGAATCCACATAAGTCTGTAGGTACAGCATGAGAGAAAAGGGGGAATTCTGCAAGTGTTGGTGCCAAGAGAGTTCTTAAAAGAATATATCCAAAACAACCTACATGGGTAAATCCTGTGTGCCTGGGGGACAGAATCAAGCCCTAGCCTTAATATCCTACTTCGACCTGATGAAAAAATGCTCTCTTGCACGCATATGTTTATAGACTAGTGGGTCAGTTACCACTCAATTCATAAAGAGCAACTCAGGTCACAGGGCTCCTTTTGGGCCTATAGACAGCATGTAGTCTCTACAAGGAATTAATAGCAAATCAGAACCCATATCAAAAAAAGGGAATTGGGGGCTTCCCTGGTGGCGCAGTGGTTGAGCGTCCGCCTGCCGATGCAGGGGACACGGGTTCGTGCCCCGGTCCGGGAGGATCCCACATGCCGCGGAGCGGCTGGGCCCGTGAGCCGTGGCCACTGAGCCTGCGCGTCCGGAGCCTGTGCTCCGCAGCGGGAGAGGCCGCGACAGTGAGAGGCACAAAAAAAAAAAAAAAAAAAAAGGGAATTGGTATCTTCAGAAGGGCTTATGGCATTATTCCAATACTCTAGAGATCTGAACTGTCCTCCCGCTGAGCTTTCTGCAGCCTCCATACACTGTCCCTGTCTAACCCCAGGCACTTTAGCTTCACTGGTCCACTAGGTCATAAAGTCCACTGCAGGCTGTACTTAGTGCAGAGTCTCCTTCTCTTCTGGGACTCGCTCAGAAATGGCAACCTTACAAGTTATTAGGCAATCAGTCAGACCACTGACTCCAAAATATACATGTAACTTTCAGAACCCAAAGAAGAGTAACTAGTGTTGACTCTATTTTTTTGTTATGAGGGCTGTGTTTTCATTTCGAAGATAATTTTTTTGATATTCCCCCAGCCATTCAGATGCTAGAAACTTATTTGCAACTACAGCCAGGACCCCAGAGGGAGCAGTGGGTAAGTTGTGTGCTTTTTCTCAGCCTTCTGCAAATTCAACCACTGAATTCATGGTTTTCACCTGATCTTGATTTTTAATTATTGAAGCCCTGGCTGTGATTCTTTTTAAAGTGGAAAATTGTAGACAATATTTTCTCAAATATTTTTTTGTACTCCTGTCCCTACTTCTATCTCTCAGGACTTTAATTATACACACAATAGATTGCTTGAGGTTGGCTTGCAGCTCACTAATGCTTTGCTCATTTTATTGTATTTTTTCTCCTTGTGCTCGATTGTGGATACTTTATATTGAGAAAGTCACTAATCTTTTCTTCAGCAAAATCTAATCTTGTTGGCTGAAACTGTTTGAGTCTAGTGGATTTTGCTTTTAATCTTTATCAGGAAAAACCTGAATGGCATCGAGAATACAGATAATTTTGCCCCCTACTGGCACAAAGCCTTTTGGAACATGCAACCTGATGTCTCTCAAATGATGAGACTTTGTGCTCTGGCTGGTGGAAACAACTAATCTTGGCTCTGTGTGAGCTCTGCAGGTATTTTCCCTCTAATAAGTTCAGAGAAATTTTTGTACAACAGCGGTAGATTCTGCACATTCTGCACACGTCTGGATCTGGCGCATTGTTAAATATGGATGGGAAACGTTGTGGTTACCCTATGTTCTATCTCTCTAATAATAATTTATCACTCCAAGAGCATCAGGGAAGCAGGTCAACAAGGAAGACATACTAGCTTCAATGATATCCCCAGGTACCAAATGCAGAGATCGTGTAAAAATTTT